CAAATACAATGTTGTGAAGGTCACAGTAGTGGACCACAGTAGAAAGAAGACCTGCCCATGGAAGAGAAAAGAAGTCCACCAGCTGCGGCATTTGACGCTCTAAGACAGTAAGGCTGCAAGATTGCTGTCATATAAAAAGTTAGTAGCTTTATGTCATAGTGTGAGGCTGATCGAAACCGCTACAAAAAGTATTCGCTTGTTGCTATCAAGAAAGTCACCTAGCCGTCGTTCCTTTCAACGGATGCTGTAAAAGCAGTACATTGGAGCCAGAAATTCCGCTGCCATAAGTCACCATACGAAAAATAACGGGAGCAGAACCTTGGACTTCCATATGGTCAATACCCTAATTCAACCCGATGGAATGGGAAGCATGAGATGAGTCGAAGATATCGTCTTTTTTCCAAACACAGATGGTAGCATTCAAAAAGAAAGTGAAAAAAGGAGGAGCTAACATTCTTACTTACAATAACCGGTTTCAATTGTAGGTCTAGAATGCAGACAAACAGTGGATTAGCTATAATTAAGTACATTAGGCATAGATGAAGTGAGCGGAGGCGAGACCGTATACGGTTCCAAGACGGTCAAAGACTGCAAAAATAGGGGTGAGTTGACAGAATAGGGGGTATCAAATGTGGATCGTGCATCGTGGTTAGTGAAGCTGTTGCGAAACCTCATAATTTGGTTACAGGATTTCTCACAGTCAGGAAAAAAGTCTGCGGAGGTGAGCGAAGAAGAGAGCGTCAAACATCAATTGTGGGCGAAGCGTGTAAGAAGTATGACAAAGCTAAACTCGAGAGTTTTGCTTAACCCATTTAATATCACCAAGAAAGCGTGTTCTAAGCGCCAAGCGTACAAGTCTGAGTGGTAGTAGAATATTTAGCGTTAACGCCCACAATATCATGAAGATTTGATCTGCATCATAAATATTCCCAATATTAACTTATGAACTTATTGCATTTTTATCTCTTTTAATTGTTATCGAACCCACTACTGTAAGGTAATCATCATTTCTGGCTAACTCCCATGAACCAATGAATACCTTTTAAGTCAGGAAGGCAGAGGCGAGGAAACAGCTTTTTCACTTCGTTGTCGGATAGCTTCCTCCTCCCTTTGTACACAGATCCTGAAGCAAGCTGCAGGCTATGCTGGTGAGCGAACCATAAGAGGAGGTTTTCAGAAGAAAAAGACGAAGAACTCCACTTAGCAAAACGAACCACATTGAATTTGGGAAAAGGCATCAACTTTCACGAGGCAAGAGCTTTGCACATCAAAGTGCAAGCCACGAATCGCAAACTCACTGTCATAAGGTATATCAAGTATATTCTCAGGATACTAGAAATTGAACATCAGAACGTTGCAACTTGGGTAAAATGGAAGCGACCACTTTCAAAATGGACAGCAAAGGCACCTTGAACTGTGTTATAAGACGATGAAGAGCCAACTTGTAGATGAGTGCGTGAAGATTTCGGGTGTACACAGCAAGGGTGTAATCATAATCGAATCCGTAGACCTGGAAAACGCTTTACAATGGTCACCAACGGAAGCTGCATTGGTCAAATCATTCACGCATTTACTTCTGCATAGCTTAAATGTTGGGCAAAGCTGAATGCTCTACAACCACGAGCTAAACTGTCACGCGCTGGTGGCGGAATAATTTTCCTGGCTCGTTGCGCATTCAACAGATTTTAGACTGTGCGGCTGATTGCCAGCGAATAGCGGCGATCAGCCGCACAGTCTAAAATCAATTCGTGCGATTCGAGCAAGTCTCAATGTCGCATATCCAAAGGGAGCAGACAGCCAACTGGTTCCCGACAGCGAACCACACCCCGTTAACTGACACCTGCATTAGGATAACAGAAACTGAGGAAATAAAGAAAATCATAACTGAAAAGGCTATGAAAAGAACTCTTACATCAATTGAGCCAAGATCGAGATCATTGTTGACAAACACTCCTCGAGGATTAACCCTAGGTGCTGCACCTATACTCGAGCAAGCCTGCAATGGTTTGATGAGAAATATCACCAACGTATGCTGCATTAGAAGCCAAACTGAAGCATAAGGTGAAATAATGGTGACTTGTCATGAAATACCTCTCGAGCGTTGTCATAGATTCGCCGCAGAGCTTCAGCTTGAATGCATCTTCGCTCCGTCAATGACCAACCCCAAGCAACGGGACCACGTCGAAGCAAAGCAATCATGCTATAAACCGATGACCTTAACCAACGTTGTAAAAGCGTAAGCCATTCAATCAAATTCACAAATTTAACAAGCACGTCAGTTGTTGGTATTCAAATGACATCATAAACTCAATCAGAGAAACAAACACTGTGCTTTGAAAATTTATATAAGGACAAGACCCAGTAGGAAGTCTGAATTAACAACAAAAACAAAAACCAACAAAAACAAAGCAACAACTTTAGATTAAGAAAAATTATGGTCAAGAACTCGTCTCTGCAACGCTCTCTTCCTGCATTGGGGTGGCAGTAGCTTCATTGTGGACCTGAAACACAAATAGGATAATTCTTCTGCAACTACCGAACAATAAAATAGTCTAAGAAAGAATTGCGAAGCATGCTGCCATCAGTGATTCATTTTGCACAGGAAAAGGACGCTCTACAATGGATGAAGTGATTCGCTTTAGCAAAACGGAAACTCAAAATATGAAATAACTACTGAATATGACTTTCCCTGAAGCTTTGAAAGCTTGAAGGCTTTGAAGTAAGCGACGGCGAGGACGAATTAATTCTGCTTTTTCTAAGCACTGATTATTGCTGCCTAATTCTATACCGTTTCATTGATGTTTCATGCAATCACCACCCAAAACCCATGTACGCAAGGTAAGCAGCCACGTCGCAATATCGTGCCGCTTCCTCCTCGCACCTGCGGCCAAGATAGCCAAAACTCCACGGTAACTGTGTTAATTATTCAAGGATCTTTTATAGAAAGCGGAGCACGGCTCTCTAAGTGGTAAAGCTAAATCAAAAAAAAACTGTCATGAGAGCGCGTGGTTTGCTAGGACAGAAAGCGACTTTTTCCGCGTTTCGCAGCGCGAAACACTTTTCGCTGCGGGAACTCCGGTCCACTCATGATCAGCGGTGGACCTGAAGTTCCTGCAGCAAAAAATGTTTCGCACTGCGAAAAGCGTATAAGTCGCTTTCTGTCCTAGCGAACCACACCCGTAACGAGGTTCTAAGGAAGAGCATTGCTCGAAGTAAAGTAGGGAGACAAGTGAAGATGGAGAGGTCAGATGCTCGTGGTGTGGTAGACGCCGGCGTGGGCTAAAATCATAATCTCGGCTGGCCGTTTCATTCAACTGAAGCTCTAAGGGAATAGTGAGCGGAGTCAAATTGACCAATGACGAGAAAACTTTTTTGATTATTCAGTTGATTACTGCAAAGAAAAACAGGGTCATCCGAAGTCCAAAATAGTAGCTTTTCCTCATAGCAAGATCAGACGAGTCAGCACTTGAAAAGATTCCACTATCGAATCTCTAAAAAGTAGAAATATACCTAGTCGAAAGGCAGGCAGACCGTCAAGGTGCGTGACTATGCGCGTTTCGCAGCGAGGTGTATGCCCCACTGGCCTAGCAAGGCCACAGCTGCATCAATGCGAAAGTGAAGGGCAATGAAGGAGTCTCCTTTCATGGGTTCCAGGCGTTCCGTATGGGTTTTCCTCATCCCTGCACCACTGACCACTCCTACCTTGGTTTCTAATGAGCTGCCTTTTCAACGTAAACTCCTTCTTGAAGATAGGGCGGTGCGGATTCAATCACTGGATGTTGTACATGATAACCGGCACCACTTGCCACTACACCGCGTCTGTCGTGATTTGCGATATACAGAAAGCAAAGTGCCTGCTTTTAGAAATGATGCTTCACGACCTCAACAAGCGTGAGCTTGAAAAAAAAGGGAAAGTGAATAATGGTCGTTTACACTCCACCGTGAAGAATTGAACTGACCTTGCTTTTGAGAGTTACGTGAGGATAATGTCCTCGCCCAGCTGCAGCTTCCGCTTCTTTGATTGAGTAAGGAACTTCTTTCAAAGACCGGACACGATTTTTGTGTAACTGAAAGTCTAAGTTCATTCTCCAATTCACGTCACAGAAAAGTTCGGAGACAAAAATATGCTTTTTGCTGTTTTTTTTTTCGCAAAACTAATGACATCAACTGATGCGCCGCCCTCTGCTGGTTTTGACAACATTGCATCATCACCTTTACTTGAGGTAGGTTGAGTCATAAGTAAGTGCCGATTTGACATAAATTTGCAAAAGTTTACAACTTTCTTTGCGAACCACCTTGATTGAGTGCCATATTTACCACATCTACAAGTGTCCTCTATCTCCGCAAGTGAATGGATACCTCTCTCACAGAACTACGCAACCTTCGACGTCAAGAATCAGTGGATGTCTGTTTTGAGGTGGTCGCCATCATCGTAGTTTTTCTCGTTAAGGAAACGAGCAAGCAAGCGGAGCAACTGGTGATTGGTTGCTATACCTCAGTGGATTAGAAAGAGTGGGGGAAAATCATGAGGCCAAGTTTCTGTATAGTATTCTGGCATTCCCTCGTTTCATGTGGGTTGCGAGCTGCGGCGCAGTGGAACAATTTCATGTATTGGAAACTCAACTTTGCGATATGTGAAGCAAGTTATCCAGCTGTGAGCAGTAGGTGTCTGCTCCGGCAGTGGTGGTATTGTTTACCACATTGCGGACCGCCGTTGTGAGAGTACCTTCGTATCTTTTTTATATTTTTCAAAAATGTATCATCATTAATCTATCAACAATTTTATCAGTGATGACACGTATGGTTTCCGGCTCTGAAAATGAGTGCAACAGTTCAGAGCATTGAAAAATGTCAAATAAATCAGATTAAACTATGCTGTTTCGTGCGAAATCGTGCGCCACATGGTGGCGCACGCGGTACGCAATGTGTTAAAGTCTATAATAACGCAATACTACAATCGGACAGCGGAACGTCTGGGTGAAGTTCACCTATTGAGGCTTGTTGTCGCTGCTGAGCGTTGTTTGGGCAGACTGCACACTCCCAAACCCCAGTGACCCCTTGTCAAGCCGATCGAAACAACGACTTTTATGCAGCAAACTTTGTGAGATGATCACACGTGTCCTTCGAGCCACCTCGTCCAACTCGTGAGAATTCCATCTTCCCAGCGTGTACAATTTCTCCATGGCTCAGAGGGAACGACACATGGTGCACTGGGAGGACTGAAGGTCTACTGCAGTTTGACGGGTACTGGTACCGGGTTGCCTTCAAGAAGCTCTTGCATGCGTTCAATATCTACGGCCATTGGTGTCCAAAACATGGTCGGTCTTCAGGGTTATAGTCGCCCTGGCGAAGCTTCCCGAACCACTTTCAATAGATATTCTCATTTAGCGAGTCTGGTCCTCCAGATACACAAATATTCCGACAGGCTCCTCTTGCTGAGTGCCCCAGGCGGAACTCGTAAAATAGACAGTGGTGAACATGTGTTGAAATGGACGGCATTATTTTTTCAAAAGACGAGTACTGACGGTAAATTTCGTAATATGAAAGGACACGAAGGTCGCCACATACTGCTCTGCGGGGAACAACACAAACGTTTTCCGGGAAAGATGGCGTGGGTATGAAGAAATCGGCACTTACTTAACATGACTCAACTTGATATCTTGGTCTCGTTCTACTTTCTTGGTCAGAGTCAGAGCAGATTCAAACCGCAAGAAAACCCCCAAACATACCTGCAAGAGTCTCACAATCTTTCAGATACTAGTTCTCGTATTAAGGAATCAATAAGTAAGACGCCCAGCTTGACTTTTGTAACAAAACACCCCAAGAAAAAGAAAAATCGTCCAAGCTATAGAAAGCTCCACTTCTACCCTGATCCAATCTCCCGTGATAGAAAATAAAAAACGAAAAAAGGACAATGGTACTTTCTACGTCAATGGATATGATGTGTTTATGTAGATATTCTTAAAATAGCTCTGCTTGTCAATACCTTCGACTTTCGGTGATCCGCTCTCGTTTTCTCATCTACGAAATAACGTTCACATTCGATACAGTAGAACTGCCCGTCACCCGGTAAGTCAAGATCGATCTAGAACAATTTTCAGAATAAATAACGAAATGCTCCAAATTGGGAATCCACAAGATATGATAACTATTGCTCCTTCAGGGAACAAGCTATTGAGCATCAGTTAATTTGTCATTATATGTTCGTGTGATTGCAAAGCCACAGTTACCGCGATGCGCGGCCAAGCAATGCGCTTGTCATACGGACATTTTGGCATCATTCTTGTTCGCTCATACCCTTTCACTCTTCTACTCCTCTGTCAAACTTCATTGTACCAGTTCTGAAATCTTCCGCTCTTGTATTTCATACTGATTAAGGAAATTTATAAAAGTCGCGCCTTTGTGAGGGTTTGAGACTGTGACTGGAGTAAAATATCGTGCGCAGCTCCTAGACCACACAAAACGTTCCCAGGGATTCAGTCATCCGAAGATCCCCAGTTCATGTTGTACATGACCTGTAACGGTGCCACACGAGAACGCCGCTTCATTCACATACGTTCAAGCGCCCGTGGTCGCAGCAAAGATGTTTACGTAATTTTTGAACCACGCCTGATGCGAAAATATTGCGTGGAAGGAGCATGGCATAACGTTTCATCTTATAGCGTCCTTTTCGTGTCTTTGCTCTTGTGCGAACAGTAAATTTCAAGATACTAGATTGCCACGCCTTCATGAAATGCAGGCAAAAAATCCAAATAGAACCCTTCACTATAGCAGGAGAGATGGCATATGTACGCGCATGGAGGATGGTGTTCTGCGCACTGTATAGAAAAGATCGATGAAATGGTAATAAGCAGGAAGGCAGTGAGAAAACACATATGTGGAGTGTGGCAAAGTCGCAGAGACGAAAAAAAAACTCGTGGGACCATATGGAAACCAAACTTGCTGAGGGAAACCATATGGAAACCAAATTTGCAGAGCAATATAATGGTTACTACTTCGTGAACTACAAAAACATTCTTTTCCACTTATACTCATGGTGAGATGTCATTTTTGACACGCGGAAAACATTCTGAGACTATATCATGTTCTGGAGGCGGAAGTGGTGTAGTGGCAAGTGGCACGCTCACCACGCGAGCGGTCCGGGGATCAAATCCTGGGTCGTGAGTCGCCCGGGCCAACCAAGCCTTCCATCCCTCCGGGGTCGGTTAATTGGTACCAGACTTGTCTGGGAGGATAAAAAACACTGACTTGTACATCGGCTGGGGTTCTATCCAGTTTAGGGGGGGGGGCCTTATGTGCAGTTTCTCGGCGAGTTACTGCTAGACTCGAACCATCCAGCTCTTGGACACCGCAACCATGATGCCCCTATACTGAAATAGACCCTCGACTGGCCCCCCCGCACATCATATTGTAATAGCCCACCATCGCATCAACCGGCCTACGAATGTACATCAATGGCAAGAAAATCGTGCCGCATCCCAAAAAGGGATTGATCAACGGCAGTATGCTTTATCATTTTATCCTTTATATCATGGTTATAGTTTTTTTTTTCGATATGCCCTCCAGCAGCGTGCTGCACCTCCAACTCATACCTCTTGATTGAGAAGCTTCGCTGCTTTGCTCGGCTTGAGGTCCTCATGTATTTGATCAATGTCTTTACCTCTACGCTTCCGCACTTTATTAGAAATTGTGTGTTTCCTTTGACTATTGGAGGGCATATCTGAAGTTGTAGAATGCTGTAAACTTCGAAAGCGAATAATTATTGCAATCAAACTTTATGTATTACTGACTTTTCCTAAGCCTTTGAAAAAGCGAGTAAAAAGAGGCAAGTAAACCTTTTATCATGCAGTCACACATATACATGGAGAAAGACCGGTAGACACAATCTTTGTAAACGAACCAGTTAAATTTGAAGAACACAATAGAATTGCAAAAAAATTCAAATACCGTTTCCCACTGAATTTGGCCCCTCCTCCTTTAACAAGTGTGGTAGAATACAGAGATCTTGGAAGCTAGCTGGGGCCGAAACATTTATACAAAGCAACGAAAAAAAAAACTAGACAGTACACTCTAGGAGAACCATTACTTTCCATCCGTATCCCAGCTTCAGAACGGTCCCTAATCAAAACCTATGACCTTTCTTTGCAACAAAACCATTGTAGATGCTGTTTTTCTACATCCCAAAAATGGGGAAATGTTTCGTAAGCAACCACAGCACGAGGCTAGGCCGATGTCAGACTTTGCGAATCGCGCGATTCGCTAGCGTCCGCGGTCGCGTTGCGGTACCAGCCAATTGAGTGATTCACTGGCCGCGACGCGACCGCAGACGCTAGCGAATCGCGCGATTCGCAAAGTCTGACATCGGCCTACGGCGGATAGATGGATATTGCACGGTATATCGATGCAGAGATACTGATCGTGAATGAGAGATGATTTGAAAAGAGGATATACTTTTTTTTCAAAGATGACTGAGGCAGAACAACCACAACAGGACAAAACAACATGATTCAAAATCCCTATGCTAAAGGAATTACCTCAAAAATTAAACTACAGCGGAATCATTTTTTGAACAGCTCGATTCGAGAATGCCTCACATCAACTGCTGAAACTAACTCATAAAAACAGTGTGGTCTTTCTCTCATAGATCGAAATATCGAGTTTCAAAGATCTTACACTCAACCGGAAACTTTTTTAAACCAGCACGTTGAATGCGATAAAAGAACTCGCAACAATTAATTACTTCCACGTTTACCGATAGGAGATTCCATAAAATATATACACAATTGCCGAATAAAATCAAGAGTGACTTCAAAAATTAATTCGCAGAAGTACAGTACATATTTTGTCCGGACCATTACTGATGGAACGGGGAGAACGTTATATAACAAGAGCAAACGAATAGAGAATTTACCACCACTGAACTGAGCGTGCACATTCGATGAAAGCAGAAGGCATCAGTTAACTGCCACAGCTTCCTTCTCTTTATCAAGTTCGTCTAACTTGTGAGCTGACTGAGAGAGCGAGAGTGAAGAACCTAGCCCGAATAAGTGACCTTGGACCAATCGTGACACCTGAAGTACGAAAAAGTTGGCAATTAAACTTTATAGAGAAAGATCAAGTTCACACTGAATAAAAAAGTGTACTGAAAGTTACGGACGCGTTGCTTTTTCAGAGTGAAAAACAAAAAATAGTTCAAAACAACCCTTTTTTATGGGCCATCACCAAAATATATAGGATGGGACATGGGTGTGGTTCACTAGGACAGGAAGCGATCTTTACACGTTTCGCAGCTCGGAACATTTTTCAACCTCAGGTCCACCGCTGGTTCCATATACTATCCTTCCCCCAAAAGAATATAACTTCAGTAGGTCGGCAAATCTCTACCGTACCCCTGGGTGTCAAACAAAATGGTTCGTGCAAATGAAATGCACGACACATTTTGGTTGACATCCAGGGATATGGTAGAGGTACTTATACTGAAAATTACGCCATCGCTTGGGACGCAACATCATATAATATGCCTTTGCTCGAGAAAAATGCTTTTTAGAGCGATTGATTGATGATGCAATGCAGTTACGGGTCTATTCCAGTTAGGGGGCTGGCTACAACTCCCCCTGCTTCAGAGTACCCGTAGCTCTTTTGGAAGTCACCGCACCTAAATCCCCCTAACGAGAATATACCCCATTACAGATCCTTGGCAACCAGACATTTCGAAGAATTCTAAGTCTGGTGTAGAATGTTTTGATGTAGAAAAGGTTTGGCAGACTTCCTAGAAGTTCTATCCTGCAAATTCAATTTTGCCCAATTGAATGTGCCGTCATTTCCCGGGAAGACATTTCAAAACTAAGAGCATCTCACTCAATCTCATCTCATTTCTCCTATTTTTATACATAGATTCTTTGACTCTCTGATGAAGAGCTACAAGCTTCTACATACTCAAACGTAACACTGATTTTTTTTTTTTCTTTTTTTTCCGCGGACCATTTCACAATTCGAGCCTTTGGTTCCAAATAACCTCTGAAAAATCTATTTCCTTTCCATTAGTTGTTTTGTGAGGATGCAGAGCGACATTACTCATAATAAAGGGTGGTGATGGCAACATACAAAATATTAACTTGAAACCAGTAGACGTTTTGAAAAACTAGCCTTGTCCCAATTATCGTTGAAAAACTGTTGCTTAATTTTGAAAAACGTTTTCGCAGTGAGCAGAGCATCCGATCCAGCCTGATGACGCATGCCATGCCGCTTGACGTCCAGCTGATCTGCCACCTAAGATTGAATAATTAGTGGGCAACAAACTCATTGTCAGAGATGCCCACCAGAGGAAATAACCGCACTAGAAATAGCACCGTAGTGCGGAACAAGGCAATGATGGTATAGTAAAAATTTACCTCTTGTAAACCTCCTTTGAGCTTTGTATTGAATGACCCAGGCATCCGTAGCATAAGTTTAATATCGTAACAGCGAGGGAAAAGTGCTCGGTGGAATTGGAAAAACTGCGATTCCTGTAAGTACGATAACGAATTAACTATGAAGCCTCTAACTCACAAAAACAGTACCTACCTCTTTTGGAAGTTCGCCGAGGGTTATTGATTTGAGTAGATATCCAAAGTCATACCCCGACGAAAAAGTCAGCCATGTAATTCGGTCATCCACAATCAATCCCGATGTTGTCAACAGTTCGCCAAAAATGTCCATGGAAATTCCCTCATTCTGAAGACTTATCATTGAATTAGTAGCTAGTATTTCAAACTAACATGAACGTGAACCTGCAAACGAGTGAAGTCGATTCCCGCCGCTCTTAGCATCTCTACACTCTCTTGTGAATACATATCATCGGAGAGCGAAAAGTGGAAATTGAACTGCCACACGTCTCCCGTTGGTGGAAGATCTCCTTTCTCATCGACTAGCGCGAATCCTACCTGAAATAAGCATTTGAAAGATTACTCATGTTAGAAAATCCTCATTCTACACATGCCTGAATTAATTTGAGCATGTTGACATTGCAGGATACTTGCTGGTAATTGAAGTCTTCCTTGCTTTTGAATGTGCCTAGAGGGGTAGCAACAACGCCTGGAAACTCAGTATCCATCGCAACAAAGGGGTAGTCCTGAACACAACAGCATTTTACTTAATAGCAAACTACGTGGGAGAAAGAAGAGGCCTACGTCAATTAGAGTTCTCATTTTTGCGAACTCTTCTTCAACGTTTGAATTCCAAACGTCATGAATCCTAACTTCTTGGTTTGCGCTCATAGATACCTAAAAAGAATACATTATTCGTCAAATCGCCCACCAGAATTGCAACTACCTTAAACCGATTCACGAACAGATGCCGCGATTTCTATTATACAAGGAAATCATCATCGACGTCAAGAGAGGGGTTCGACAGGGCGACACCATCTCGCCCAAACTCTTCAGCGCCGCTCTCGAGAACGTCATGCGTCAACTGGAATGGGAAGACATGGGAGTGAAGGTCGACGGCCGGCAACTACACCACCTTCGATTTGGAAAATTGCGCAAGCAGGGCGAACTGGCTGATTTCGACTGCGCCTGTGGTAAGGTTCGGTCTGCAGCTGAACCTAACGAAGACGATGTTTATGAGATTTCTGATGCCCCATTCACGCTCAACGGAACGAACATCACCGAATGCTCCAGCTACGTGTACCTAGGTCGGGAAATCAATATGATGAACGATCTAGCTCCAGAGCTGAGCAGGGAGAAAAGAACATCGAGGGAGTAGTGAAGAACACGAAGAACATCC